AACCCGCGTTCCCGCAGAAAGGCAAAGGCAAGAAACTCGTCCAGCCGTCCCTCTCCCTCGCCGCTCCCCGATACACCATCTCGCGCTCCGAAACGAAGAACCTTCCCATCTACACTGACTACAAGCGCGGCGGCAATCTGCACACGACCACCATTCGCAAGATCACCGGCGACATTTCCGCGCTTCGAGATGAGTTGAGAGTGTATTTAAACAAGGGGGATGGCGATGTTAGGGTGAATAATTTGACGCAGCAGGTCGTGGTCAAGGGACATCATAAGCTGGAGATTTCAAAGTTCTTGCAGGACAGGGGGTTTTAAGGGAGCCGGGATCACGAGTGCATATCGAGTGATGCAATGGAGGGGGCCGAAAAGACGGAGCTCGATTCGGGAAGTGTAAAATACAAGAGATAGCACGCAAATAAGAGAAGATGAAAGACATACTGTAGAATCAATGTATCATACTGTACCCTGTCTATAGCCGCACGTAAAGGTGGTCACTGGAAATCGACGAGAGCAGAGGCAACCGGGATATCGGCAAGTCTGCACTCTCTCAGCTCACGTATCCAAAAATTTCCATAATTCCCCCATGCCAGAGATCAATCGTGATACGGATGCTGAACAAGCTAACAACATATCGCTTCTAAGTAATGATTCTTCAAAGCTATATAGTGCTTAGCGCACTTGCACCGATCTCTGTGCCTCTCATTGTAGCCATAATAAGATATCTTAGGGTACCGGACTCGTTGGATGAAGTAAGTGAGATGCACCTAAACATACATTGTCAGTCCTAGTCCTAATGATCACGTTTAGTTTCGGCCTGGCAGTGATTGAGACAAGAGTCAAACAGAAAAACTTTCACAAGATGGAGGACGACAGGGACGTCATCACTTCAACCTAGGGTACCTTTGCCGTCGAAAAGCTGTATGAAGCCACCCCCAACCGAAGCACAGCTCGACGACTGGTTGTTGACGTCTAGATGAAGATGGATGCTTCTAGCGGAGCAATTTTTGTAGAATCTCGCACAAGCTTGATTTAAGGTAGGAACGTTTGAGAGATACACGACACGGGAGTCGAAGCTTGATTTGTATGTGGGCGGGACTGGCGATGTCAGTCGTTAGAGCAGGACTTAGAGAGTATGGAGCCATCACTAAGGCTACGGTGGAAGCACAGGCACACGACCTAACTAGACGGCGCAAACGCGACTAGAATGAGGATATTGGTAGATTGTCTAAAGACTTCACGATAGCAAGCTATCAGGAGATGGATGTGTTATGCACAGGCATGTACCCTATACGTTGAAGAACAGGCTCGTTGAAGATGTCTGTTAACGCTCACTCTCAAGCCCTCACCAACTGAGGGTTTGGCGATCCTACATGAGTGTGTATCTCTTCGACCTTACTGCCCTCATTCAAGACTCCCTTCAATGTGTTACGAATTGATGGTGTAATAGGAAGCCAAGCGGGATATAAGTTCTCGAGCAGGCACAACTGCTAGATCCTTTCTGCATCGCTCATATCTGCTACTATCAAGGTAACCTATCCTGATATGTCGAGGCTCCGTTCGTTAAGGCCGAGTTGCCTTTTCCGGTGGGACGATCTGCTCTTTGCGCATACATAAAGTCGAAGCAGAATTCGTTTGGCAGCTGTGCCCGATCCTGCTCCAATCTGAGGTGCGTCAACGGGATATCGCTCCAGAGGTCGACCATCAATTTCCGAATCGGACTCTGCTCCGGTGTACCCTCGTAGATGAGTCTGATATTCTGGGCTGACGGTACACGCCAGTGATGACCATGCCTGATGTGTGCTACTGCGAACATGGCATCGATAATGGCGCGTTGAGCTTGACTGTCCACGAGTTCCTCGCACAAGACATATAGCTCGCAAAGGTCCCTATACTCCTTCTGCACAATGATATCGAACTTGTCTTTGGTGATACCTCGGAGTTCGGTGTCGTCTTTGGTGGGAATTTGATTGGTGTAGGCATGGTTCAACCAAAGTGCGAATATCTCAGGCTTGCGATGAGGAAGTTCGACAATACGGTCTTCTGATGCGCGCCAGTTCCCGTTCAGGGCTCGACGAAAGAATTCCGAGCGGCCTTGGATATATGGTCAGTATTCAATATAAGTGGCCAGTCATTCAGAGTCTCTTTGCGACAGGCACAACTTACCACAGACGAAGCCTTCGTGAACGATGAATTCCTCTTGATTGGACCCTCCGCCCACACGTACAGTGAGAGACTTGGATCGATTGAAGCTGGACAATTCAGTACCAGGAATAGTGATCGTCTTAGGGCACTCACCTGATAGCACTCTTGCTCCCAACTCGGGGACCGCGTATGGGCAGCATATCGGGATCGTCTGGCGTTGTCGCCGGCATTTGAAGTGTCGGTATTCGAGGTGGTGGAGGGGAGGCAATAGGAAGGAGCGTTCGAGTGGGTGGGCTGATAGACTGCGACCCCAGGGCCCCGTTTTCCTGACTGGGGTACGATGAAGTGAAGAAGAAAAAGTCTAGGTGAAAGAGTACAATTAGGCAGCTCGATATAGCGCAAGCGCATAACACCTCTTTCACCCTTCTGACAAGCCAATATATGCAGGTGCCATTGAATGAGATTTGGTTTGGAGTGATGAACAGGTGAAGGTGCGCGTTTGTGACGCCATACAGTGAATGCATGGAACGATAAGACGATATGCCAAATCATCACAAAATTGCTCTCCGGTTCTCACTCCCAGCCGCTTCCGCACTGAGCAACCATGTTGGGTGAGAACAGGGCGTTTAAACGCACAAGAGAAACTAAACCACACGTCGCAGAGTGAGAAATGCAGGGTGAACTTACTATTCTCTAATGTACGAGCGCAAACTCGCCGTTCAAGGAAAGAGCAGTTTGTTTTGTTCTCAATATTGACTCCTGAGACCGTCCGATTTGACACTTCACTGAAACCTTTTTGTTCCGGACATCGTTCCTAATTTGCTAGCATACAGGAGATGAGCTTCTACCACATGCCGGATTCACTTCTTTAATCCTATGTCCATCTAAGTTCTACTTTCGTCTTGCGAGATGCAAATTCACCCCCTCCTGAGAACAACTCATTCATGAACAGGCATGTCTCCAACAACGTCATTAGTGTCACCTTCTCCCGTCTCCTGATCTCCCCTATTCGTCTTGACCACTTCCTCTTCAATTTCCTCATGATAGACCGTAGCAGAGCGGCTCACCATTGGATTCGGTGAATGAGCATGTCGATGATCCAGAGCGCCCACAGCCAGATCGTAGAAGAACTCCTCAGGATACCGATCCTGATCTTTCAGCAGATGACCATGAGAGCCGATAGCGAAGGCATAGAGATCCACCATCAACTGCCTAGCCTTGCAGCCTTTGCCGGTTCCGTTGTAGATGATATGGATGGCTTCACCGGGAGGCAAGTGATTGCTCAAAGGCATGATTGAAGCCTCCTTCCAGCATTCCAGCATCGCCTCGACGGCAGCGTTCTTGGCTTTGACGTCTCCGAGGTTCTGGCTTAGGATGTAGAGTTTCGCTAAGCTCACGTACTCTTTCGCGATGTAGTCTATGTAGTCTTTGAAGGAGAGCTTGCTCGGGATACGGTGAGTGTAGAGTAGCTGCAGATATAAGGCGAAAGCATCTGGATCTTCGGTCGGCAAGGCGATTTCGCGATTCTCGTCTGGCTTGTTGTTGTTCGCGCCGTCGTCAGACACTTTGAGATGTGTACGAGTCGACAGGAGACTCTCATGTACAGTGAAGGAAGTTTGTTTCTCATCATTACCAACGACTACGACGACGAAGCTTGAGCCCAGTCTATTATGCTTGTCAGAGTTGTTCGTGGATCTCTTGAAAATGTCGAGTACTTACGTTAAGGCTTGATCTGATGACGTACGAATGTCTTGCTTCTTTCCAGAGGTCTGAGAGGCGTCCTTGGTCCCAGAAAATGGCTGCTGGATACCGAAGGTAATTGGCTTCAACTTCGAATCGAAAGAACCGAACAGACCCTCAGATATGGCACTGGGTTCTGACACATTATTCTTGTCGAAAATGCTCTTGGAGCGTGGTGCCTTTCCTCCAACGCTGACACCACGAACCGGTGGAGAAGCACCGGTAAAGGGGTTCAGTGGAAGTTTGGGAAAGATAGGACGATTGGAAGTTGATCCTACGAAATCCTTGGCTGGTGGCTGAGTTCGGATGGAGGCCTCAGATGGCGCATCGTTGTCTGGGCTACTGGTCATCTCGTTTGCTTGGGTAGAGAACATGATCGGTGTATTGTATGCGTGGTTGTGGTTTAACTAGAGAGTTGGAGAGAGCTCAGATGAGCAGACTTCAGACTTCTTATATGTAATTTGAGAACCGACGAAAGCGCTTGAAGCAACACTGGTAACTCCTTCAAACCAAGCATCTTTTGCAAACTACTTCAAATTTGCAGATATTGGCAAACTGAGAGTTTTGCTCCTACAAAGGACCAATGCACCCCTTTCTCTGTAAGTGGTTTGAGACTAGCGAGTAAAATGAAAGCATTGTAGCGAGACAGTCTGTCAGTGTCTCTATGATTGCTGAGGAAAACATGTAGCTCGTATGGCAAGCAGACAAGGAAACTTGGGCGGGCAAACATGAACACCGCATCTGCTCTCCACGTTGTATCGAACTATTATTCCGCTTTGTTGAGGCGCAGAAGTGATGGGACCCCGCCCGACAAATCATGTCCCCACCGAGTAGGACGCTTTCCAGTGTGTCTTCTCTAAAATTATGCAATGTTCGATTGTGAGACGAGTTGAGTGAATGAACTATTTGACTTCAAAATGACTCTCTACCAATAGGTATAGCTGATTATCAACATATGGCTTCGAGCCTTCACATCGGATATTACTGTCTCCAAACTGAAAACAGATCTGGATGGGTCTATTGACCAGACAGACCCTAGGCCCGTCATTCCGTCATTAAATCATCATGCCTCAACCATATCCCACCCATTCATTCCCAAGCAGCAAAAACAAATGCTGACACGAGTGAGGTTCGAACTCACGCGGGTTGCCCCAGTAGAGGTCATCGTAATCCCACCGCGCTTAACGTGCGGCAGGCGCGCTTAAATCTACCGCCTTAGACCACTCGGCCATCGTGTCTGGGACGCGTTTATCCAATTATGGAACCATGTTGAATAAATATAGTAAATATTTGTGTAAAGTCAGCGAGCACCGTACGGCGGGCGTTATTGGTGTAACAAGCGGTGACGACCTGCAGGTGCGGACAGCGGACGTCAGGTGTCCACTTTGGGGGCGAAAAGTGTGGGGCAAGCTGCAAGCTGCAGGACGGTACGACCCGCGATTGGACGGCAAACCTTTGCGTCATGATGTGCTGCTGGGATTAAATGCTTCTTTCACGATACCTCACTCTGACTACACGATTATCTCAAAGCTTGATGAGTTCGTGATGCTTAGATGTCGACATGCCTGCAATATACAGCTTTTCCTTCCATCCGATCAGGGGTATCTGCGGATTCGGGACGATGAACAGAAACTGTTTGGTTTTGAAATACGGGTATCGTGCCTGTATCAACATGCAGTTCAGATACGAAATGTTAACTGCCTTCCCGAAGCGCCAACACGTGATGCCGTTCTGCCGTCCCCACGGAGATTATTCGGAGTCATTGCTGGAACGAGTCTGCAATCTCATCATGATGGATGCGGTTCGTAATCCTCCTTGCGCGAATGCCCTGCGAAAGAGATCCGTTATCGCCGGCATTACAAGTTCATAGCGCCCTGATTCTGTCACTGGATGAACTCTGAAGTGTTGTCAACTGGCTTACAACTGCAAGTGGCCTTCGTTGCCCGATACCGGTACATGAGTAATGCTCAACATTTGCCATTCCTGCAAACCGAAAGGAAGGCCCACATTTTAGAGACGTGGTCTACGAAGACGAGGCTGAAGCGACGCCACCAGAAATACGTACTAGGATCCACTGAGGCGTGCTCAAGTGAGCCAGTCTTCGTACGAGCGATCGTAGATCGGAAAAAAGAAGTCGGACATTCCCGATAAGGCGTTGAGCTATCGCAGATTACCGTATGCGGATAGCAATTTCGGTCATTCTTTGTCTCCGCGTTGGACGTGAGGTAAGCTCTCTCCAATGTACATGTTATCGCGTGACGCGGACTGGAAAAGTATCGCGATGATCAATGGTATGGACGGAAAAGCTCAGTGCTATCAGCGGAGCATCCGCGGGAATCTTGTCCGGTATTGAAACGGTCCCCACGCAAATTGCTGTAGTCTGTCAATACCCCAGTATGCACTTGTGGTCGTGCTATCTTTCGTGCTAAGCGGTCGACGATGCATTTCTGAATGTGCATACCTTCAATGCCCTACATGACGTACGAGTATTTGACCAAGGTCGCAAGGTGTTTGGTCAGCAAGGACAAAATCTACAATGTAGGCCTAGAGAAAAGCGCGTCTGCTGGGCGCTTGCCAGACGTAAGTAGGGCGAGCATTACAGCGCATTCTTGATGAGTGATGTCCCGCTATTGTGCTCAGCGCTGCATAGCGGATTAATCCGTTCCAATGGTGGTGTGGCAGAGTTTAAAAGTCCGTTGGCTCAACGGCGCGGGATGGCGCTCTCGGGGAGGCACGACCCTTGGTTGTCCTGAGCAAGGTCGAAGTGTATCAGCAGCTTCTCTGTCTGTAGAGCGCATAGTCAGCAGCTTTTGAAACAGATATCACATGATTGCTCTTCTCTGACCCCCTGGATAACGCAGGGATATCTTGCTTATCGAGATCGTTCAATAGAGGGGTTTGCCCAAGTTGACGTACAGGTCCTGACAGGCAACAGGAAGTTTTGTAGTTTGACCAGATCACGGCTATATATACATTCTTACCACGACGCTGTCAACATCTTCTCCATCCGATGGGTGCTGACTGAATCACAACAAACCTGTAGAATGCGTCGTGCCAAAGATACCTTCGATGTTTTTAATTTGGCAACTGCAACACAGTCTATGGCAGACCCAAACGACAATCGTGTTAGAGAGTAGGATCACGATGCTTACCTTTCCCATCCATTGTTTGGCCTTCTTTTCGTAGCATCCATGAGCTACCTGACTAGCATGCCAGTTTGTTGATAGCTGGATGAGGTGTGTGCTCACCGCGGAAGCACCTGGTCAACCAAAGTTGGCACTGCCCAATTACTGTACTGTGTATACATGCCCTCAAAAGCCTGACTTGAGTGGAACGGTCACTTCGTTGCGGGGTAGGTTCCAGACTTCTCGGTTGGCATTCGCGGGAGCGTGACGTTGGTGACCTAAAATCCGCGACCGTGTCTGCTCCGGTCGAGCAACACCATTGGATATCACCTTCAAGTTTGCTTCGCAAGAGTGATATGGTGCCAAAGTAATGCAATTGACATCACAACCTTCCATGAGGCGATGAGAAGTTCGCATCTCGTTCCTTATTTAGCGTGTAACCGGTGTCTATCCGCAGAGCCTCGAGCTATTGACCAAGACATATTGGCGTACTTGTACCGGTTGAGCGCAGACACGCCACTGGATATGGTGAGTCAAAATAAAGTTTTGGACAGAGGACGCCCATGTCTGGCGCATATGAGTGTTGGGAGCGGCGACGAAAACGGACCGAAGCGTTGGAACCCCTTGGTGTGCAGAAGCGTCAAGCACTGTGACGTAGTGATATCATGTGTTTGGAACAGTATCCACCTTCTATTCTTCCAAGACGATCTAGGCTGCGATCGATGCTGTAAGGAAAACCATAATTCAAGCTGCACTTGATTGCGAAGAGGTATTGGGACGGATGTAGCCAGGAGGAGAGAGAACGCCAGCCCTTCGGAGCCGGCAGCTGCGAGAGACCGAGACTTGCCTTAATAACGAGGCCCGTTTGCAGCAGCACGTTTTTCAGATCTGATTCGATATTAGAAGTCTTCATTGGTCGCACAGATGCGAACAGGCCGAGGTATACAAGTCAGCCGACAGTGCAGCATTTGATGGAGAGGTATTGTGAAATAAATGTCGCAGGTGACGCGGAAGAAGGCCGAAAATATTGCATAATTACCACCGAGGAGAGCGCTATTTGTTGAGTCGTTACTAGAGTCTATATGTGCATGAAGAGAAAGAGACAGAATGATCGTGCGGTCGATGACCTATGCCTGCCATGCACGATAGACGATCCTGCTGCCGTATTTCTCTCCTTTCTTCAAAAGAACTTGTGACTTGTGTTCCGGACTGTTCACGGCATTGACATACCGGCTCGGCTCTACGCAGAATCCTGAGCGCGAGCCTCGAGCAGCTAAACCCCCAACAGCTGGCACGTCAATATATTTACCAGTATAGAACTGGAAAGCCGGCTCGGTTGAGGAGATTTCGAGGTGAATCTTCGAATCGGGGTGATAGAATGAAGCAAGTTTCTGTATAGGCGAGTTTCGGGTGTCGATAGGAATACTTGCAGAGTCCGTGTTGACAATGAAGCAGTCATCAATATCAGGCTCTGTCTTCCCGAGGGTGAATGTTTTGTTTGCAGTCACTCCTGGATATTCCTCGATTGGGCCTGTGGGTATGCCTCCGGAATCCACGACCTGATACTGGTTCGAGGCCAGGGTGACCTCAGTCCCAGTAATCGTAGGTCCATCGCTGAGAATGAAGTAACTGTGAAGAGGTTTAGTTTAAATCTCGATTGTCCTAGAAAGGGCCAACTTACCTATGGTTCGTCATGTTTACGGCCGTCTCGTTGATACCATCCCCGATTAACTCGGCCTCAAACTCTATGTATAGCACATCTTTCTCAATTCCGTCTGCTTGCTCTTTCTCTTGAGTGTACCAGACCTTGACCTCGACTTCTCCAGGATACCCCTCCTCGTTGTCTGCGCTGGTGTATTTAAAGAGGACTGCAGGTTTCCCATTCCGGTCGACTTCAAGAGGACCTTCGAACTCTCTCTTGCCCCATCCCTTATCTCCGCCGTGGAGAGAGTTTGGCCCATTGTTTACCGGTAGCTGATAAGATTTTCCATTAAGCTCATCAATTTTGGCATCCTTAACTCGATTCGCGATGCGTCCTATAGTCTCCCCAAAGTACGGAAAGTTATACTGCTTGTAGAGCTCAGCATCAGGGAAACCCTGCACGATGTTCCGTCCCTTGACATTGAATTCTTGGATGATAGCACCCAAGGGAAGGAAGTTGAAAGCCTTGGACGATGACATTGCAGGGGTATTAGGTAATGTTGAAGCGATGTCTCGTCGATGCTGGAGAGTCTAGTGAGATCTCGTCAGCAGCCGCTACCACACCTCAGTGCATCAACTGCAACCACGGAACGCTCGGTGGATTTCACAAGCGTTCGATGGTTTCCAATGTGGCAGTAGAGTGAGGGGTTGAGGGGCAGTTCGATACTATGATGCATGCTTGGCGCGGGGCTGCATGTACGACTCACCTTGCAGGCTGACTGGAACGGCTCGTAAGCAATCAAATGGTATGTATCTTGGGGGAGTCCTGTGATTGAAATCCCTCAGTGCGCACCGTGAGACCAAAAGAAGTAGGAGGTCCAACCTGACCTACGTTATGTACATGCTGGTGGTGCGAGTGATTAGCCTAATAGGCGGAGAAATTGACCCTTTGATTGCGCCAGCGTGGGGTGCTTCCACGTGAGGGGTGAATGCGAAAAGGATCGTTTCTATCCGCAGCGACTAGGAGAGACTCGTGCAAAAGTTGAGGGTCTATGCCCAGGTGAAGCAGAGTAGATGCTGGTTACAGCATGTTGTCAGCTCCGGTAAGAATCCGAGTTTCCTCCGAATTGCTGTGTAACCGTTATCTTCAATTGTTAATTAGCTATACTATGCTTAACTGGCAAGAAGTTTTTAACTATACTATTGTAAAAGAAATATGTTACACAGCAAGTTCGGAGGAAACTCGGATTCTCACCGGAGCTAACAGCACGCTGTAGATTTCGCAAAGTGGTCTGTGCGGTCACTTGAGAGCTCGGACTCTGGGAGTTTTGAAGTACAATTTTGAGCGGCGCAAGTATGATACAATGGCTCTACCCTCATGATGCTCATTACACATTCCTTCCAAGCTGCCATGACCGAACAATGGTAAACCCGTACCATCGTCACCAGATCCTTCGCCACGAAGCCCTCGG